TTGGGTTCGATTGAAGAACCCTTGATGGGTTTGATTGAAGAATGCTGGGTTTAATTGATGTACACTTTCTAGGTTTGATTGAAGAATGATAGGTTTGGTTGAAGAATTGTTATTGGGTTTGATTGAAGATACCTTGATTTTTCTGGGTGTTTTGGAAGGTTGAAAGTGCAGTGACTAGTTTGGGAGATTTTGGGTTTATGTTTGATGTTTGTGTTATACTTAGATTTGATGTTAGAAAGTATCTCGGTTTGCAAAAGGTGAAAGGAAAGAAAGAGGAGGAGGAAATGGTTGCTAGGTTCGATTTCAAACCCAGCGCACCTACTGGGTTCAATCGACCTAACGACTAATGGGGTTCAAAAAAACCCAATTGTGCTGGGTTCAAAGGAACCCAGCAAAACAGAGAAATTGGAAGGGTCTAGATCTAGTGTTGGGGGAGCAATAGAGAGAGAAAAAAAATGAAAGGATGAAATTGCAGGTTTCATTGGAGGCAATTGCAGGTTTCGTCTTTAGAGTTTGTAGAAGATAAAGAAGAAGAAAGAGAATTTTTTAAGTATTTTTTTACCATATCATCAATTTTTCGCCATGCTATCTTCTTGCATGTATTTAAGATGTTGACATGTAATTGTGCTCCTATTAGTTAATGGGACACGTAGGTGGATTTTTTACGAAGAGACCAAATCGGGGGTAAAATAATAAACAGTAAGAATCAAATCAAAGATTTGTTAAGTTAAGGAACTAAATTGAGGGTCTGTATAATAGTTAAAGAACCAAAATAGAAGTTTAAACTATATATTTTGATAAAAAAAAACACCTCATAAATATTACGTTACGTAATGCGGGCATTTTAGTCACGTACAAGCCACGTTGTTAGACATTTCTTCAAAAACGGATTTGAGGAGTTGAACACGAAAACATAAGGTCACAACTCATACCCTTTCTCCACAAATAATTGAATTTTGTTGGAATCAAATGTGTCGTTTTAGGTAGCTTTTTAGCCGTCTTCCGTTTTTTTTTTTTT